CCAACACAAGACGAGGAGGAGCCATGGTTTTACAGAGCAGCACTAATTCTAAACATGACTATTTCTCTTCTAATTTTCATGAATGCCTGTAAGCACACTTTACAGAGTTTCAGCAGACTGAGCATCAGCAATAAGGAAGGGACAAGAAACTGTGAATGATGTTCACTAGGTTTAGTACCTTGCAAAGATGTTATGCTCAGTTGCAGATATTTTTCAAACCAAAGCATTGAAGTGTCTAACCAAAACTTGTGCTAGACCATTGAAGTGAATTCACTAGTGCTTGAAACTACTCTCTTGGCCAGATTTTCTAGAGAGAAAGAGAAAAGATGGGTGTATGAGAAGATTGGGATGTTGTCAATCCAGACCTGACCAAGTTGCATCTGACTGAATGCTTTCAATCTCAGCTAAGTGCTGCTTCATTATGCAATAGCAATACCTCTTGCACACACAGCCAAACATCTCATTTTTCCTCGGAATTCATTTGTGTGAAGCTTGTCGTGGTCCCCTGACAGACCTAAGCATTGTGATTTCTTAGAACTCAGCCAGTGAAAGTGTTTTGGAGTGGCAATGTGAGTACATAGGCATTTGGAAGGCTTCATCTCTCTTCACTTATCCCATATACTTCATCAGTTCCTAGAGAAACATACACCTGTGAGCTGGCATGCTGTTCTAAAGCTTGGGATTGCATTGTCCCTTGAGTTTTTTCAAATAAGTTGCTCAAGTCTCTCCATCTGTGTTCTCCATGTTGTATCCAGTCAAGTATCCAAGGAACTGCCTTGGAGAGGGAATTCTGGACTTTGGGATCTTTCTGTTCTGGATATTTCAGCTTAGGTATCATTGCCTTTGCAAGTTCCACTGGCAGTGTCACTGTATTGCATCAGCATTGTCCTCCAGGTCTTGAGTGTTTATAGTATCAGCAGCTGCACTGTTAGGCAGGAAGGGAAGCTTCCTTTTATGTGGGTATTCCTGATTTTTTGTGTGGCTGCTGGTGCTGGGCTGAGGTTTTTTTCTTTTACCCTTGTGGTGTAATATTCACCCAGAGAGGGGAAACATCTTGAATACAGGACGTTGTGTTTCATGGGTGTCGAGCACAATGTGCTTTTAGCCTCGTCCTTGCCAACAAACCTGGTAATGGCTGCCCCTTAAGAACCTCTTTCCTGTCTGTGTTGCCCACATTGCTACTGCTTGTGAGCTTAAATTGAAAAGCTCTCAAAAGCCACAGTGGACTCCAGCTCTGTTGAACTAAGATGTGCTGCTTGCACCTGCAATAAGCTGCAGGCAGCCCCAAAGGCTTTGCAGTTGGGAAAGGCAGGGGCAGGGTGAGCAACTTGCAACTGGGATGCAAAGAGACAGTGCTGCATGTTTACTGAGATGATGACAGCTGCCCAGTTACTATCTTTCAGACTTGCTCCGCTTAAAATGAAGGGGCATGTGTAAAGGGTAATGAGATTACAAACTTTAAGGTTTGTAAACTGAGTCTTCACATTTTCTCCTATGCTGCTTTTTAAAAGGTAGGCTGTAGGCAGGGTTTGGCTGACAGCCTGAATAAGGACAGGGAGAAGGGGTACTGCAGTCTGAAAGGACAAGACTGGAAGGAGCTGAAGAAGCCAGGGCTTGAATTGAGAATATTTTCATAGCAGGGACTAGAGGGAGAGATTTCATGTTACAAAGAAAGATGTCCTAGCATTTAGACATGTCCTAGCAGATGGTTTGAAGGAGGAATTAAAGTCAAAGTTAAACATAAGTCTGGGTCGCAGGTAGTGGTTGCTTCTTTGTGAGAGACAATATGTATTGAGAACTGTTCATCTAGTAGAGCTGAGTTCCATCTGACATCTGAGGATTCATCAGGACATGTGAGGTCAAGCTGCTAGTTTAAAGAGGAATAAAACACAAACTGAAATACAGATATGACAGTCATCATAATAAAATCTTTGTTAATGTTTATCACACTGTATTGCCTAAAATACCAGTTTCTTATTCATATAGAGTGGAGGATAACTATGCCAGTGAGTTTTGTGTTTCATTGGCAGACACTAACTTTTACTTTGTAAGACCTGTATTCAGTTCTAAATTCTAGAAACAGGATTAAATGAGCTTTCGGATATATTTCTCTCTTTCTAAGTAGTGATTTTACTAAATAGAGAACTTTCTTTATTCCCCTTCTGCTTTTGTTTTCAGGGCAAGGCATTTCAGAGAGAGCATCAAATTTATCCATGAATGCCGGCTCACAGGTGAAGGCTGTTTAGTTCATTGGTACGTATATCACTTGCTAAAAAAACCAGACTTCTTAAGGGGTTCTCTACCTTGATTTGGGTGTTCATAATTTTAATAAGTTAGTGTTAATCTCCACTTTATAGCAAAATCCTCTTGGACTGAAATGCCTCCTTTACCCAAAGAGCTCCAGAAGATTTGCAAATGCTATTAAAGCCTCATGCTAGGAATTTAGAGTCACTGGGATGGGCAGCTACCTGGAGATAAAAGGTGCCCAAGAAATTCTTCTTGACCTCCTCTTATCAAACCCTTTTGTAGGACTGATTTGACTAGGAATGTGTTGACTGGAGACACGTTATTTATTTCCCATTGTTTTAGTCACTGTATTTCTAAATGTGATTTCCATAATCCTAATAATTTGATTAGTTTCTCTAACAGCTATTTTGGTGACTTCAGAGTTGTAAAACAAATTCCCTCTGAGGAGAAATTGATTTTTTTCCTTTTTTTCTTTTCTTTAAACTGCTGAAGCATTCAAATGTTGCATTTGTTAACAGCAAGTCTCTGATTGGAGAGATGCTCCTGGGACTGAGAGAATAGAAGAGGAAATCCCACCTTGGGTTTTTTCTTGCTGTCTGCTATTGGTTGTAGTCTTTGTGCTGTATGTCCAAGTGTCTATATCTGAGTCTATATCTGGAATCAGAGTAATTTCATGATTTGAACACTGGACTTGTACATGGGGCCCTGAGCATAAATCCTCCCTTCGCTATTGGCTTATGATAGGGCTGTGCACAGGCCCTTTGATCAGTTTCCATGTATGGAAAACAGGAATAAGTAGTCTGAATTCTGATAGAGTTTTTAAAAATGGATATTTAAATCTGTGAAGCATTTCAAAAGCATAAAATATTCTTGAAATGCCAAGTGCAAGAGTCTGGTACAAATGTGCCTCAAACACATTCTTTATATTCACCATAGTAATAGTTCTGAGGTTTTTTTGTCCGGTGCTGTCCAACCAGTCATAGTGAATGATTCTTATTCTATCCCAGCATTTCATGTGGGGGAAAATGGAGTCCTGAGAGTTGGAGTTGCACAGTGCAATGGATAGCAGAAAGAGGAACTCGAGCAACCAGACATATGTACTTTAATGGTTCAGTTAAAGTTTGTTTTGGCCCCATAAAATTGAAGCCTTTATTCATGGTGGAGTGGGAATGGTCTGTTTCACTGCTCTGATCTATATAAGCAGAAGGAGGAAAGTGGGTGATTTATTTCTGCCTTATTTAAAACCAGATCTAACTTAGAATGTGTGCACTGTCCCTTGCTTTTGTGAAGACTTCATACTTATTTCTTCCTTTTCAGTCTCATACGCATTACTACTCAAAACCTGCTTTCTCAATCATGTTATAGATTTGTTCTGCTACATTTGGAAAAGCAGCACCAAAACCATGTAACTCAAATCTGGCAATATTTCTTCCTTGTGACAAGCAGCACAGTAGTCTGCTGCAATGCTGAGAAGTGATGCTTTTAACTCTGACATATGAAGTACAGCACTTCATTGTATTGCACCTCATTTTTCATGCAGCCTTGCAGGTGTCTCCAGGAGTGTAACACTGGTGGTTGCCTACATCATGACCATCACAGACTTTGGTTGGGAAGATGCACTGTCTGTTGTCCGTGCAGCGAGATCCTGTGCCAATCCAAACATGGGCTTCCAGAGACAGCTACAAGAATTTGAAAAACATGATGTTGATCAGGTAAATTAACTACAAGCAGGAGCTATGAAACACAACTCCAAGTCAGATCATGGGCTACTTCTCATTATTTTGTGGTCTGTGTGGTTTATCTGACTCCCTGTTTTTGCTTTGAGGGAGTGGCTTCTTAGCCCAGCCAGCTCCACTGAGGAGGTACAGATAGAACTGAAGGTGTGAGGGAATGATGGATGGGAGAAGGGATGAAGCACAGCATCTAAACACCTGTACTCTCAGCCTAGTGATTGCTTCATGTGTGCAAAGACACAGTACAATACCGACACCTTTAGAGGGGTAAAAACTAAAGGGTGAGTTGCTCAGAGCACAGCACAAAGCCCAGCTTAGAAGTACCAGTAGCATAAAAATAGTGAGTTTCCCTCCAATACATTCATTTGGAATAGCAAGCAGGAAAAAAAGAATCAGAAATCTTTGCTATCCAGGACTTAAACTAGGTTTTCATTATGCCTTGCATGTCATTCCCCCCCACCTTCTGTGGCTGAGACTTAATAAATGTTCTGATGTGTAGAGCAGTCTCAGGTCTGACCCTTTTTTCTTATCAGCTTTTGAAGGCTTTGTAGGACTAGGAGAGTTGAGGGAAGAGTAGGACTGTAAAGTGATTTTCATAAAACAAAAATTAGTTTCTTATTCCAAAATAGAACCATCCCACGCAAAAGACCTGCTCCCTGTGGGTGATTGGTGACTTCCACTTATGTTAACAACCTACTCTGGCCGTCTTCTCCATTTTCCATTGCTCAGCATGTTGCTGTTCTCAGGGCTTTAGTGCCTGTTGTGCTTGTTAAAAGTCAACAACAACAGAGGCAAACCAAAACTGGAAAGCAAAATACATGAGGCAAAGGATGTTGGGGGTTTTTATTCCATTCCTGTCATTCTGCTGCAGAAGGCACAGAGTTTAGAAATTACGATTTGTTTTGCATGATGCAGTTTGCAACTGTAAATATTTGCGTTTTTTTAATATTTAACTGAATGTTTCCTGGATCGTTTGGAACTGGTGTAAGTGGTAGAAGTAACTGATTTTTAAGAGACAAAAATCAGAGAGGGACTTTCCAGACTTGTCTCCTTCCTCCCTTACAGTCATTTCTACTCTAATTGGTTTGGTCTAACAGCAATGACAATTAAGGCTGTATGCAAATAGCCTGATAAAGACAGTAACGTCTCTTTTTTCATCCACCATGGATGGCACATTCTGTCTTTTTTTCACTGAGGGGGAGGCAGTAGGTTGCAAAAAAGAAGTATCCACCTGTATTCACTGGCTGGGCTGTAGTTTCTTACTGTCTCTTACCAGCAACCACATCCTTAGCAGGTGTCTGTTTGCACACCTGATTTCAGTGGAATAATGCCATCTGCCCAGGGTGTGAACTTTTCTCAGATTTCAGCAGCTTGGGGTGTTTTGCTGTGCCACTATAGGGTGATGGTACCCTGTGGGCTTTATGGAATGGTGTCCTTTAGATCTTGGTCTTACAGGATGTGGTTTAGTCACTAAGGTCACAACATGGTTTGTACCAGTTCCAGACTTTCACATGGTAACCTGAGGCTTCAGATTTGATTCAGGATCTTACAGTCTTTTGGGAACAGGAGGGAATAACTATGTTGAGGTCTTGTCTCCCAATGTCCTAGTAAATGATCTTTATGGATCAAACTGTTTATGAGGCCCAAACAGAACAAAGCTATGAAGGTGAAGGTTTGGAAAATTAATATTATTCCCACTGGGACACAACAGTTAGGGTCTGTGTTTACTTGCTGCTTTTGCAGAGAAGTGCAACAAAATTGTTAGGAATGACTAATTGGACTCAAGTTCTTCAACTGGCAAAGAAATAACAGAGAAGGATGTGAATGTGATTAAGGTATATAAAGTTTAGTAGGTAGAGCAAGTGAACTGTGAAATTTTCACT